TGTTCATTCAAGGTTGAGCGAGAGTCTCCTGTAGGCTGTACTCTGCTGACTGCAGTCCGTTTCGTTCAGGGGTTCATGGGCTCAGCGTGGATCGAGGACGAGACTAACCAAGGAACCGCCCCTCAAGACTGACACTCCAGGAGGAGAAGGTCTGGAGACTTGGGGAGACTTTGGGGGGAGTCGTGGGAGTTTGCTGCCAACCACGGCCCCCTGCGGATAGAGGTGGTGTCCTCCTTTGGCGCCCTTAACACCCCTGTCGGAGTTGAGTCGAGTTGCGTTAGCACAGGTAGTACTACGTAGTTTCCAGTTGTGACTTGTAAGCCCCTGCTTGCTGGCTCTGCGATGACCTCAGTGATGGAGGATAAGAGTTAGTATGCTAGGCAGGGTGAAGGCATCGTGAGATGCTTTGATAGTTAGCATAGTGAGAAGACGGCGAGATATGTTAGATGCATGGATAGACATGGGTAGATGAAGGAGAAGAACAAGAGAGTTTGAACACATAAGAAGAAAACGGTACGGACGAAGAAGCAACGAAGTCTTGGCGTCCCTGTCAGGAAATCGCCTTCCGTCCAAAATCGCATGCGAAGCCTGTTCCATCCTCACTGAATTCCGTCCGACATCCGTCCAAGGCTTCTGGTCGCACTGCTGGTATGCCCAAGGTGTATAAGATTCGAGTATTGGCCACTGCCCTGAATCGTTGCATGTTGTATCAGTCCAAGGCATGTTTGTACAACACCGTGGTCTGCTAATGAGGACTGGACCAAACCAAGTCGGGCCAAACCCACCAGGCTGAGCGTTTGGTCATGACAGAAAATTCGGCGCTCCCCCGTGCCTCTAAGGCGTGCCCACTGCAAGGTCCAAAATGGACAGCTTGGCCTGGCCCTTTCCTCTACGAAGTAGCGGCAGTAGCCCCCCATCCGGTCGGCCTCAGCCCCTCGACCCTCTCCCCCGTCCGGTCGACGAGCAGCCCACATGTAGGTAGTGTGGTAAGTACCTGCTCAGTCAGGTAGCCGTAGCTAAGGTACCTTGCTAAACCCCACCCGCGCTCAACAAGTCTGGCGTCCGCGGCCAAGTTCGTTCCCGTTCTTTCGCGCAGGCCCGTCTGGTATTTTTAGGGACAAAGTCACCTTTTTGGGGCTGTATTTCCACAGGTACCTCTCATTGGTAGCGCTAGGTAACTATTCGCCTAGGTAGGTAGCTAATATTCGAGCACCACGACGACCCCAGCTGAATAGCACAAGGAAAAAAGAAGAAGAGAAAGTGCGCTATCGTCAAGAACGCGTATGCTCTAATCTGCCAACCCAGGTTTGCCCAACAGGAGATACCTGGGTCACCTAAGGTAATGGACAAAAGTGATTGGAGGCATAGCAATACCAAACACCTCTGTCTGTATGGATCAGATACCTAGGTGACCTGTCCTGCTTCACATTTCGCTGCAGGGCACCTCTTCAACCCTTCCCAGGGGCCTCTGAAACTCAAACCTGTCCCTATCTGGCTGGCTGGCATTCCTCGACACGCACCTACCCACCGGGAAGTCAGACAAGACCACCTTTTTCCTGCACCTCAGTATTCCCAAGATCCCACCACTTGCTTGCCTTACCTAAGAAAAGGTACCTGTCTACACATACTCTTGACACCAAGATACGGAGCACTGGACGGATACCTGACGTACCTCACTTATCGACCGATGCAGCAAAGGTACCTTGCCATCCCGTTACCGCCAATACCTTGTTTGCCTCTGCATCGCCTCGCCTTGCGGTATTGCCGCACCTCGAGAACCCTCGAGAGGTACCTGTCACGCTACGTACCACTCTCACAGTTTTATCTGCAAAATCCCACGAAACACTCTCCCTCCCCTTTCGGCTTTCCATTTGCGCCAACCAACCATCCCCGACCCCTACACACCTCTCAGTGACACCAAGACCACGACGACTCCCTCGACTCAATTTCGAATCCCCTCCACTCGAACTCGACGACGAACGGCCACGATCCATCACGAACGCCCATCTCCTCTCTCTATCTCTTCTCAATTACAACTCCCCGACTACCTAGAGTCACCCGGGTTCCAGATTTCCATGTGTCGCTGCTGACGAGGTTCGACCTACCACTCCAAATCTCTCTCTACCTCGCCCGGCGCGAGCCTCGCAAGCTCCCCTTCACGGGACACGACACTCTCTACAGCGACCGCACTTGCCTCGGCGCACACCTCTAATCACCACCGACGCTCTTTTCGCTGTCCGTCGCAGTCGACGCGCTCATTTTTTGGCAAGATGATGTTGGACGAGAAGTACGTTTGCGACTCGGTCGGCCTTTTGGCCGCCCTCCAGACCCTGCCCATACGTCCACCTGGCCTCGGAACTCGAAATCGCTGACAGACCACCCGCGCAGATACATTGGCCTAGGCCTCGCCATGGCATCCAGTTTAGCCATTGGTATGCATTCCTTTCCCACAGTTTCTCGTAGGCTACATCGCTGACAATGCTCGTTTCACAGGTATTAGTTTCGTGGTTACGAAAAAGGTACGCGCGGTTCCTGATCGCTCGAGTTGCCCTTGGCACTACTTACAATTAGTCCTACACTGTATGGGAGCTAACCTATGGCTATAGGGTCTTATGCAAGCAGAAGAACGTCATGGCTTTGAGGGTGACGGATTCGTATATTTGAAGAGCCCGGTTTGGTGGGCTGGTATCTCAACTTGTGAGTCTGCATTAGGACCTCGACGAAAGGTGACGAAGCGGCTAACACATGGGTAGTGGTCGTTGGAGAAATCTGCAATTTTGCTGCCTATGCATTCGCGCCAGCCATTCTCGTTACACCTCTTGGAGCTCTCTCTGTCCTGATCGGTGCCGTTCTGGGTTCATACTTCCTGAAGGAGGAGCTTGGAGTTCTGGGTCGCTTGGGCAGTGCAATCTGTCTAATCGGCGCCGTCATCATTGTGCTGCATGCGCCCCCAGATGAAGATATCCAGACTGTTGACCAGATCCTGCACTACGCCATTCAGCCGGGTATGTCAATAATTCTGCATAATAATGCGCCTGAGGACTAATCCCTTTGTCAGGCTTTTTGTTGTATGCCTTCACTGTTACCGTCTTCGCAGTGGTCATGATTTACAGAGTTGCGCCGCTCCACGGAAAGAAGAATCCGATCATCTATCTCTCCATTTGCTCAACTGTTGGATCAGTCTCGGTCATGTCTGTCAAGGCCTTTGGAATCGCCCTGAAGCTCACATTCGCCGGAAACAATCAGTTCAGCCACCCTTCGACTTACGTTTTCATGATCCTCACCACCGTTTGCATTCTGACGCAGATGAACTACTTCAACAAGGCTCTTGCTCAGTTCCCCACCAACATGTAAGTCAAAGAACGCCGAGCCTGTGATTGCCAAATAGCGCTAATCGAGGACCATGTAGTGTCAACCCCCTCTACTACGTTACCTTCACGACGATGACCCTATGCGCCTCCTTCATCCTTTTCGGCGGTTTCAATACAACCGACACGGTCAACACGATATCCCTTCTCTGCGGTTTCCTGGTCACTTTCACCGGCGTCTACTTGTTGAACCTGTCGAGATCTGACCCGAACGGACACAAGTATGTTGCAGGCCGCGGCGGCGACGATGCCACCGGCACGGACATGATCTCTACAATTCAGACTCGTTTGAGTATGCAGGCACGCCGGAGTGGAGACCCCCACCGGATGAGCATTGGCAGCCGTCACGGCGATACAACAGGGTTGATGAGGGCCTACGATGAGGAGGCTGGTGCCGAATTCGGTCTGACCGATCTGGCCGATGAGAGTGACGACGACAATGACCGCCACAGAGCCAACGGGTCCGCCAACGGCCATTCGAAAACATACAATGAGACAATCGAGCTTCAGAACCAGAGGTCCGATAGATGAGGGACCTGGAGGATGAACCGTCTGTTTTCTAGCTATCGGCCAACACCGAGGCGGTGATTGTCTTTTTTCTTCGAAGCATTTCTTACCAGGGGCCCGAATGGGGGCAGCATTGTACATTTTCGCGAAAGTCAAATGACTGAGAAGTTTTCCACGACATGATCGGATTCATGAAAGAGGCAAAGACCCACGGAACAAGGCGCGCGTCCCGAGTGAGGGAGGGGGGAAAGCACCAAAGGGAAAACCCAGAATCGAGCTTTTCCCCATACTATTTCACTTCTGCCACGGCACGAGGAGTATTCACTGGGCAACGGGAGGGATCACTACTTGAGGGGCGTTTATCGGGGTTTCCAATGGATACTGGGTGTGCGGAAAGCACCTCTTGTTGTACGATTAAGGGCAAGGCGAATGGGGGAGAGGTGCATGAGGGCGAGAGAGAGAGTGAGAAGCATACCCTGGTTCGCCTGGAGACTGGCATCTTCTGTTCACTCTCCAAAGCATTTCAAAAACCATAGACGTAGGCTGAGGCCTAGAGCCTCGCGAATTGAGCATCATGGATCGACTACAAACCACCATCATCTAGCGACAAAGTGACAGGATGGGCGAGTAGAAACGGCTTGGACTGCTGTGCTAATCAACGAAGACGCAAGAGTGAGGTGGCTCATGACTTAGACGGCAGGATCTCTGATTATAGTCGGTGGATTATAGATGGCGTCACGTATTGGGCATGCAATTTACTTTTGAATGATTTCGTTGCTCATTTCATGGTTTGTTCTACCATTACAAGCCAGTCGCAACTATCCGAATTCCCTTTCGCAGAGTAATGCAAATGTTGATCAAGACGCCTGAGTAGTTATTCCACCCCCGTCCTCCCATTTTTGCTGGTCTTTTCGCGCGAAACACCCCGTTTTTTGTATTCCCCTAGTCTGGTATTGGAAGAAAACTAGAGTGAACTAGAAGACAGAAGCGTGCGACAAAGAGAAGCAGACTCGAAAAATCCCCGCTTCACGCTGAACAGTTCTCCAGTCCCCTTTTGTGGGTTTACCAACCGGCGGGGCTGGAAGAGTCAGCCTGCTCGAAAGAAACCTGCAGCTCGCCAGTCTCCTACGACTGAGCCTCAGCCTCCTCGCCAGCCTCGGGCTGCTGCTCCGCTTGTTGCGCCTCAGCGGCGGCCTGGGCCTGGGCGGCCTTAGCGCCGTAGTCCTGGGACATGGGCTGGACGACGGACTGCTCCTCCTTGGGCTCAAGGATGGAGACGGCGTCGGGGAGGGTCTTCTGGGGGCCGGCCTTGCCCTCGGGGTCGGAGCCGCGCATGATCTTGACCTTGATGCCGAGAACACCCTGGCGGAGGAGGACGTGGCGGGTGGCGTGGTCGATGAAGTCCTTGGCGGGCTGACCAGAGTGGATCATGAAGCCGTCGGTGAACTTCATGGACTTGGCGCGGGCGGCGCGGAGCTTGCCGGAGACGACGACCTCGCAACCCTTGGCGCCGGACTCCATGATGAAGCGGAGGACACCGTAGCAGGCGCGACGGACGGCGAGACCGTTGAGGAGCTTGTAGCGGAGGGACTCGCACTGGGCGACGGCGGAGAGACCGCGGTTCTGGACCTTGGCGGCGTAGAGGGAGACGGAGTTCTCGGGGAACTTGAAGCGCTTCTGGATGAGCGAGGTGAGCTCGCGGATGCGGCGGCCCTGCTCGCCGAGAACCTCCTGGGTGTGGGTGGCGCGGATGATGATGTCGGTTACCGTGGGGGTGACGCGGACCTCGACGCCGGAGTAGCCCTCCTCGGCCAGCTCGCGCTGGAAGAACTCGTTGAGCTCAGCGTAGAAGACGCCATCGGCGACGAACTTTCTGCGCTTGGAGCTATATTGGGGGGAAAAGACGAATCGTCAGCAAAGACTGTTCCTCCAAATGTTCATTTTGTTTTCCTTCGCAACATTTCCATCCCCGGAGCATTTCATCCACCGGGGGAAATTCGAGATTGGCGAAATTTGGTCGATGGGCGGGGAGGAGGGATCTCGAGGAAATGTTGCAAAGGCAAAGCCACCATTGGAAACAGAGGAAGGACAATTCTTACATCTGAGTGCCTGGAACAGCCATCTTGACTTTCGTTTGCCCGAGTTTGTCGAAAGGGGGGGATAGTTGGACGAATTGTTGGAGTGTCGACGGTTTCGTTCGGCGGAGGGGCGGAAGGTTGAGAAGTGAGGTTGTTCGAGTAGTCCACACTTGCCCAATCGTCAGTGCCCCGGATCGATTTTGCGCTGTAAAAATTGAGCAAATTCTGTGTGCCCTAGAGAGGCGGGCGATAAGGGGAAACCTTTGGCCTTTTGTGGTCTGTGCTCTATTCTTATCGAGACGCGCCAGGTCGCTGGCAGAGGACCCCACTTGCCAGCTGTGGTGACCTGCCAGGCGTAAAGTGCATTTTCCTCCTTGTCTGCCCGCCCTGGTCAGCAAAATCGATACGTACCCCATTCGAGTGCTCTTTGCACGTGCTGGCTGGCTGATCATCGGGACATCGGGAGAGAGAGCTCCGTCGGCCGGTAGTGGGGTTTCAAGGGGCCAGCTTTGGCTTGGTGGGGACCACAGTCGCGGGAATTTGGAGGTCCCCTGTTGGGTTGCAGGCTTGCAGCGTGCTGGCCACGACGGTGACGGTCACAGGGGAGCTGAGAGCGTCAGGTGGGTGACATTTGATGCTCTGGATCCAGATCAACATGCGATTCAGTACCAAGCGCCTTGCCTCCTGGTAAAGAATTCCCCCGATGGACTTTATCTAATGATTATCATATGGCATCTGATGGGTAGTCAATAATCGTAGAAGAGTTCAACTTCTCGAAAGCGCAGTTTAGTTTCTATGAAAAAGGCTCCATCACCCAACTTTGCTGATTTGGAAGAGAGCACTCAAGCACTGACACTGAAAGCCGTGACGTCGGCTCTCTGTTCTCAGCCCCGCGCTAAGCTAAGGGACCAGGTAGATGGTGTGGATCAGCCGTTCCTTCTCTTCCTGCTGCTCCTGCTCTTTGCGACTGCGCAGCAGCAAAATCAACCCCAGACAGCCGACCTCCGACCTGACAACCGCAACCGTCCCTCCCCACGTTACCTGACCTTGCCTCCAAACCTTACCCAGCCCAACCCTCCGACCTCCAACATCGTGTGGTTGCATTGATTTTTCTTTGGTCTCTTCTTTTCCCTATTCAACCTTTCTACCCTCACTGAAGTTGCGCAGCTTTTCTGCTGCTCTTCTTCCAGTGAATTTATCCACCTGCAAACACTTACCTCCCGGGCCTTCCGCATTTGCGCGCGGCCATGCTCCAGTAGCTCAAAAAAGCATCATCTTCCACATTGCACTTCACCATGGAGGCTAGGAAGGTAAGCCATGCGCGTTTTTCACAGACTGAATATTCTCACACGATATGGCATGAAACGGAAAAAACTGACCATGTCGTGATTGCAAAAATACAGGTAGTCGAAAACGTCCAGTGCATCAACGGAGGACTCACCTCGGTCGGTACCTTGCGCTTGACCGATTTCCACCTTGTCTTCTGCGCGCCGCCACCACCTCCCAAGAACCAAACCGCCGACCAAGCCGATAAACCTCCCCCAAAACCTCGAGAATCATGGATCACCTATCCTATTCTATCGCAGTGCATACTCCGACTCATGCCTCCTACTCATGGCATTCACAGCTCTATCCGCATCCGCTGTCGCGACTTCATCTTTGTCACTTTCAACTTTGAGGACAATAACGTTGCTCGAGACGTCTTTGAGTTTGTGAAGCTCAGAACTTGCAAATTAGGCACCATCGAGAGGCTCTTTGCTTTCAGTCACAAGCCCTCCAAGGCCGAGCGACAGATCAATGGCTGGAGCATCTACGACCCCAAAGCCGAGTTCCGGCGCCAGGGCATTAGCGAAAAGTCGTCAGACAAAGGATGGAGAATCACAAACATCAACAAGGACTATACTTTCTGCGACACTTATCCCGCCGTTCTGGTGGTTCCCTCTTGCATCTCAGACAACGTTTTGAAATACGCCAAGGAGTATCGTTCCAGACACAGAATTCCCGCCCTGAGTTACATCCACGCAGACAACAACTGCACTATTACCCGCAGCTCGCAACCTCTTTCAGGCATTACCAGGAAGAACAATGTGCAGGACGAGAAGCTGGTCTTGGCGTCATTTGCACCTATCATGCCCCGAAGCAGCATTGATCAAGACCAGCCTCCTCGCCTGAGCCAGTCAGATATCTCTGAAAAGTCGTCCACAGATGGAGAGCTCTCTGAGCAGATTGTCGCAGACGATGAGCCCAAGATGTTTGATGAAAACGGCAAACGCCTCATCTATGGCGCCCAACAAGCCAACATGATTGTCGACGCCAGACCTACTGTGAATGCCATGGTCAATCAGATTGGAGGAATGGGCTCAGAGCCCATGGACCGCTACCCAGGTGCCAAGAAAGCCTTCATGAACATTGAGAACATCCATGTGATGAGGAAGTCGTTGGAGAGTGTTATGCTTTGTCTCAAGGATGCCGACCTGTCTCCTTTGTCTCCTGACCAGAACGCCTTGGCTGCCACCAACTGGCTGAAACACACGCAAGCTGTTTTGAATGGAGCCGATATTGTCGCCAAGCAAGTATGGTTGAAGCAGTCGCACGTCCTCATTCACTGCTCCGATGGCTGGGACCGAACCAGTCAGCTTAGTGCTCTTGCACAGATCATGCTGGACCCTTTCTTCCGAACTATCGAAGGGTTCATTGTTCTTGTCGAGAAGGACTGGCTTGCCTTTGGCCATATGTTTAGGCTTCGATGTGGCCACTTGAACCACGAGGACAACTTCAAGGTCCAGAACGACTCGATGGCAGGCTCAACCATTCAGCCTGGAGAGAATGACGGCCGCGCAGATGCCTTTCAGAATGTCTTCACTGGTGCCAGGCAGCTGTTCAATCCCAGCAAGGAGGACAAGGCTGAACTCGATGCCATTACCGAAGGCTCTACCGGAAAAGTCGCAAAAGACGAGGCTACTGTTCCTAAGATGGTCAGCCCCGTGTTCCACCAATTTGTGGACTGCGTCTATCAGCTTCTCCGCCAGAACCCGACCAAGTTTGAGTTCAATGAGAGATTCCTTCGTCGATTGATCTATCATCTCTACTCCTGTCAATATGGCACCTTCCTCTACAACTCCGAGAAACAGAGACACGAGGCTCATGCCTCTGAGCGCACTTCTTCGGTCTGGGACTACTTCTTGTCCCGCAAGCCAGAGTTCACCAACAAGGACTATGATCCGACCTTCGATGAGTATGTTAAGGGCCGCAGCCGTATCATAGTGCCAGATATGACCAACATCCGCTGGTGGCACCAACTCTTCAATCGGACCGACGAGGAGATGAATTCGCACCTCAACGCCGTAGCGACCGCTGCAGCCAACAGAGCTACAGCCATGAACGAACTGCACCCGACTACGGAGGATTCTTACGCGAATAGCCAGCCTGGTACCCCACCCCAATCCACCGCAAGCCCCAAGCCGCCTTCTCTCCCTACCAGCCAGTCGGTTCTGGGAGGTGTAGAGAACACGCACACTACTTTGACGCCCAATTATCAAGAGCGACAGGCCCCGGTTCTCCGTCGAAGTGTGTCGGCCGAGAACTCCAATGCCTTCAGTGCAGTAAGAGATGGAATTGCTGGCTTGAACATTGGCAAAAACGTCAGCGGAATGCTGAACAATCTGGCCGGACGTAACGCCAGTCCTGCTTCCACTTCGAGGGTTACAAGTCGCAGCGAGCAAGAGCTCCGGGAGATGACATAGGGCGTCATGTTCGAACGAATGCACGACGCGCCGTATACCGTCGAGGTGACTAGTGCTACAATGAAACTCGACGCCGAGCTCTTCTACCAGGAGAATTGGGCTGACTCAACTTATACGTTGAGCAACTGGGGCGATTCAACAATCTGGGAATGGGGTACTAAAGCCGTCGCCAACGTCGCCAACTTGAGCAACGACTGGTCAAACTTGACCGATGGCTTGGCCGAGGACACCCCTCATGGAGATACTTGCGCTGACAATATCGCCCGCGATGATGATGATGACGATGGCGTCTGTGTCACTGTCACTGGAGATGCGTCAACCGACATTGACGCCGGTTCCGACGCGTCCTCGGTTCATTCTCTCGATAGTGTCTTGACAGGGGATGTTGCCGATGTTGGCAACTTCATTTTGGTGAACACGAGCACGGAGGCCGTGTCTGCCGAGAACGGCGGATCTGTGACTCCCAGCCACTAGCCGCAGAAGACTTCCTAGTTCAACATTTCAGGAGTTTAGCATGTACTTGCTGCATTTTCACCGCACAACTACGAAGGGCACGAAAGAAATGGGGTCTCTCAGCGAACGCAATTCCAACACGTTTGCCTTGGAGGGGACGAACTGATTTACGGCTTTTCATGACAGCGAGCCGGAGTTTTGTACAAGTATTACGACTTTTTTCTTCCTTTTTTTTTCTTTTTTTGACGCATTCGCCCCTTTTTCTCTCGACGTTCGTCGTGCTGGATACACCGCAATTCTTTTCCCCCTTGCTCTGTTTTCCGGCGTCCAAGAGGTATGATTGCGTTCAAGACTGGTAGAGGGAGGGTTCAAAAACGGATCTGGGGATGAAACGGATTCGTTCATACAGCAGCAACGCGGTTTGGAAGGGTAGGGGGGGCAAGAGAAAAGTTTGCGTGAATGGACATACGCACAGGGAGACACGGGAGCAAGACAGAAAACGAGAGACGAGAGATGGGAGAGAGGTGGAGAGGCTTTGGGGTCCGTGGTATAGATCCACTTGGATTTTCGAACTCCTGTGTACTCTCGATTCCATAATTCTAATCAGTCTGAAGTTAACCGTTGCTCCCATAACGATGTGCGCGATAACATGCAGCGGTCGCCAGGCGCGTGCGGCATATCCAACTATCATGGCTTGTAAGAAACCTACCCTCGGCACTCAGTAGGTAGGTCACGACGGGTTTCTCTTTTTGTTTGATCTTTTTTTGTTATTCTTGGGTGCCCGTTGCCTCATCTAGCTCGCCTAGTGTAAAGAACAAAGTCTATATCCGACCGCCTTACGTCTAGCAAAGCCTTTTTTTACGTTTTTAGAAAACTATCCGAAGCCATTCATCATGTCCGTATCCCATCATGCTTCATCAACTACAAGAAGACCTCGAGGTTGATCTCGAGGGTGCTCACAGGGTATCTGTCGTCAACGTTAGCATCCAATGGTCATTTACCGTAATTAGAGAGGGAAAGAGGGAGGGGGGCTGTTTAATATTACCTCAAGTCAAACTTCTCCAACACAGTAGGGTGCAAGATGCCGAACTCGCCGATGCGCGCCTCCTTGCCACCCAGACGCAGGTAGATGGCAGCCGCGTGGCCAGCGAAGAAAGTGGCCTCGTCAATCTCCTCGATCCAGTAGCCGTCAGGCTTGCTGGGGTTCTCAACGACCTTGAAGTCAACGCTCTTGCCTGCCTTCAGTCCCTCGTCATGAGTGAGGAAAGCTGTACGGAGCATCAAGAGAACACGGTCCAGAAGACCGTGAACAACCTCGAAACCACTGGTCTTACCATACCAGGCAGCAGCGAAGTGGCGCTCATTGCGAGCCTTGCGCTCCAGAGACTCGTCCTTGAAGACGACGTCAGCTGACTCAAAGATCTTGATGGGGACGCTGTGCTTCTTGTTCTCGCGGATGGTCTTGAGAAGACCAGGGACCAGGGATGTCCGCACAACCTGGTACTCGGCAGTCTTGGGGTTGGCAAGCTTGACAGCAGTCTTGCCGTCATCCTTGCGGTTCAGCCAGCCGAAGTTCTCGTCGTGGCTGCACAGAATCAGAGGCATTACTTCGCTCCAGCCAGACATGGCGGCCTCTGTCCGCACAATATCAGCGAGCTTATTGATCATGAGAGGCGCTCCAATGGTAGCGCTCTTGTTGGGAGAAGACCTAGGGAGGTTGTTGTAGCCGTAGCAGATAGCCAGGTCCTCCATGACGTCGCATTGGTGGAGCACATCGGCACGGGTGACAGGGATTGACACGCTGAGAAGGTTGCTGTCCTTGTCGGAGGGCTTGGCGATGTACGCCATCTTGTTCAGGAGCTGGCACATCTTCTCGGGTGTTTCGCTAAGGCCAGTGCAAGCGTTGAGGTAGTCAATCTCAACATCGATCGTGCGGGGGGCGAGGGTTGGTGTCGTTCTTGATGCGCCGTTGTGCTCGGAAACGATCTTGACGGGCTCAACGGTGAAGGGCTCGGAGCAGTACTGCGAGAACATTGTAACCATCATGTCGCAGACAATATCGAGCTTGGTGGCGTCCGTTGCTGTCATCTCGATGAAGACGTTCTTGGTGTTGACGGTGATCTTAGAGTGGTCGCCGTTGATAATGGGCGGCAGCGAGCAGACAGTCCGGTTCTTGTCGTAGATGACGGGGTAGACGGGAGAGTCCTTGATGATGTGCAGGTACCTGCCGAGATGCTTGTCACTCTCGTAAAACTGCATCAGCTCCTCGCCGTTCATCTCCTTGGTCTGGTTCAGGGGCTTGAACTTGATGTCCTTGGCCGGCAGGGCCTCATATGTGAAGGGGCCTTCTATCGTGTCGAGGTCGTGAGTTCCGATGGCCACCAATGTTCTCTGTCTCGCCAAGTTCATGTGCAGCTTGTCCTGGAGGCCGATGAAGGAGTCGTAGCTCTCTTGGGTGAACTTGATGTTTCTAAGAATGGCACCAGCAACGAGGGGTCGGATTTTGCTGGTGTCCTGGGCGACGGTAATGACGGAGGCTTCGGGGTTCTTGGGTTCTACGACCTTGTAGTTGGGTGCGGCAACCTTCTCTCTGAAGATGTTGAGCATGAGCGCGATACCCTCGAAGCACAGCATGTCGTATCGGTTGGCGGGGATCTCGATCTTCAGCTGGGGCGGCTCCTGCACGCCATTGACAATCGGTCGGTCGTCATTCTCGGTGTCCTCGTCGAGCTCGATACCGAATTCGAAGCACAGGTCTTCGAACTCTTGGGTGGTGAAGCTGTGCGGGCGACGATCAGCAAGAGGCAGTATAGGGATGGCGGGGTCAAGATGTCTAGATCGGGGCGGACGGTGCCAGCACGGCGCAACTCACTTTTGGCCTAGGGCCTTGTACAGATCGTACTTGTTGACGGATATGGTAGGCATGGTGAGAATTGGCGAGAGTCTCTCGAGGGTGCAGAGGTCTGTCTGGCGTCAGGGGCAGGAGAGGATTCAAGCAATGGTCAATTTCCGTCTCCAATATGGCCTTGAGTCACAGAAATTTTGGGATACTCGGAGGTGAAGCAACTGCATGCACGCATGGAAGGTTCGCCGGGGCGGGATGAAGTTGCTGCTTTAAGAGGTTAGTGGGAGTCATTTCGACTTCATCGCAGCCATTGGAGGGGCTGCGGGGTTGAGGGGCAGCAAAAGCAGCGGTCGCACTCGGCATCTCAATTTTCCAGGGTCCGATGTCAGAGAGTGGTCCGTGTCAACCGACACCGGGACGGGTTGCAGCGCAGCACAACGCAACCCAGCGCAGGCAGGAGAAATGGAAGCCATAAATCACCATATTCCTCTTCGGTGCAGGCCCATCGACAGCTGGCGGCCAGTGCACACAGCCGTGCGCATATTCCAGCCACGACATGTTTCGCCGCTGGTGGAAGGTGGGAGGGACACCTGAGCTGTTTGCTGGTAACGGGAAAGTTTGGCAGATGCCTCACTGACAGCTCGTAGCTACCCACGGCGGTGACTAAAGGTATGGTAAGGTATTTCACCACCTTACCTAGGTGCTGGCCAAAATGCGCGCGGAGCAGAAAATGCTGGATTCCGATTCATTGCCTCAATCACAATCATGCGTTTCCGAATACCCAGACTCGGGACAACGTTAAATATGATGTAGCTGTCCCATAACCCCTCCCCTCCATGAAGGTAGTGCATACAAAGTACCTACCTATGATCAGGTAGCTTAGCTGCAGGCTGATGACCCCTCCTCGGCCGGTCACCTGGGAGACATCTCACCAGGCCAAGAAGGTATGAAGCTGGACTTGAAAGTTGGCATGTCTCAAGCACAAGGTAGTTAGAAGAGTGCTACCGATGGTGCTTATTGTGTTAGCTATAGAGGGCATAGAAAATTCCAAGGAACGTGAGGACGTTGGAGGAGCGATACGTCAGTTAGTACCGAACCTGTGCTGCAAGTCCGCTTTTCAGCTGCTACGAAGATGCGGCAGCAAACGACAAGCAGCAGCCCCTCACCAGAAGAAAGGAAAGAGCACCTCCTCCTGGCTCCTGCACCCCTGCCTTACGACATCCACCACCAAGAAGTTACGGGTACGTACCTTCCCTCTGTCAGACCTTGCCCAAGGCGGTCACAGATACAGGCTCTCGTAGGCGCCTAGAAATGCTGTTGCCCATCACCGAACGACTAAGGTGGCCACCGCAGCTGATAATTTAGGTGCGGTAAGGTAGCCCATTTCTGGTCGGGTGGGACAGCACCTGGAGCAGAAGCGAAAGACGAACCTCAGAAACAGCACGTCAAACTTCCCTTCCCATGCCTCGTGCTTCCACTATCTATCTCAAATCAACACCCGGCCACGCTCTCCTCCACCACTGCCACACGAACTTCACCACGACAACTAGCTGTGCCTTTCGCCAACCTGACGTCGGATCGTTGGCATGGTCTGCATGCTCGCAACCTCCTGATAATATCTGCCATACCACTATCCTGGTTGCGTCGTCTCAGATTTTAGAGCCCCCCCAATCCCACAACGACCGCCGCTCGCCCTCAACCAACCCATTGCATCACCCGCACGCGATCCACTCCGATCGCTCACAACCACGACGTCGACTCTCCTGAACATCATCCGACCCTCCCATCGATAAACGCGCCTGCGCAACCTCGCTCGCCATGGCAGACGCGCCGAATACCCAGGACGAGCTCTACCCCATCGCCGTCCTCATCGACGAGCTAAAGGTATGGCGGTGACTCTGCCTGTCTAGCCCAACCCCGACGTCAGCCTTCAGCCGCCAGCGCACAACACATTGCTAACCCTTTCGCGATCCAGCACGACGATGTCCTCCTGCGTCTCAATGCCATTCACCGCCTCTCCACCATCGCCCTCGCCCTAGGCGCCGAGCGCACGCGTGAGGAATTGATTCCCTTCCTCGACGGTATGTCTTGCGCATCCATCCCTATGTGAGCCAATATCTAAACTTTCAACCAGAGTCCGTTGAGGACGAGGATGAGGTGCTAGTCGCTCTCAGCGGCGAGCTGGGCAACTTCATCGAGTATGTCGGAGGCGCCCAATGGGGCCATGTCCTCCTCTCCCCCCTCGAGAACCTCGCTGCCATCGAGGAACCCGTCGTGCGGGACAAGGTAGCTATTGCCCCCTGCTCCACCCACCAGTCACATCGCCTAATCAAAGCAGGCCGTCGAGTCCCTTAACAAGATCTGCGAGGAGCTGTCCTCCCAGCAAGTCGAAGAATACTTCATCCCCTTGACCATCCGACTTTCAAAAGCAGACTGGTTCACCTCCAAGGTGTCTGGCTGCGGTCTCTACACATCGCCCTACAAGAAGGTGTCCCCGGGCATTCAAGAAGATCTCCGAAAGCAGTTTGGACAGCTTGTCCACGATGAGACACCCATGGTCAGACGCCAGGCTGCCACCAACCTGGCAAAGTTCGTCAAGGAGATGCCGGCCGCTATCGTTGTCGAAGAGATGATACCCCTTTTCCAGCACCTCGCCCAGGACGACCAGGACAGCGTCCGCCTACTTACCGTCGAGATCCTCATTTCCATCGCCGAGGTCGTACCCAAGGAGCAGCAGTCGAGTCACGGCGTTCTCCTCACTTCTCTGCGAAACCTGATCGAGGACA